TCCTCCTCCTCCTCCTCCTCCTCCTCCTCCTCCTCCTCCTCCTCCTCAGCACCTGATCCTACAGCACAGCCTGCTCCTCTGCAGCCTCCTCCTCATCCTCCTCCTCTTCCTCCTCAGCATCTGATCCCATAGCACAGCCTGCCCCTTTGCAGCCTCCTTCCGTAGCAATGTTTTCACCAAGGTATTTGGTGAAAGTCTCTAGGGACATGACCTTTGCCAAAAAAACTCTACAAAACCAGGACTACATTGAAATATTTTAAGGCAATCCAAATCTGTGTTCCAGGACGAAGGTCACTCATTTGGCCCCAGAATAAAGTCTGATGTCCTCTGTGTGTCTTGCGCTGACTCCTAAGCTGAGCTAATGGCTTCCACCTCTAGCACCCTTTAAAGCAGTGTGGCCTTGTCCTCCAGTCTCCGCTCAGTCACAGGACCAGCGTGGCTCCCGGCATGAACCTCCTCCCACACTCTGCTGTCTGCAGTATTTAGCAGAGCTGTACTGTGTGTCTGGGCCTCAGGCTGATCTCTCTTCCCTTCGTTAGATGGTAAAGTCCACAGCTGTGGAGACTGACTGGCCCTGCCTCAGACCCAGTTACACGCCTGCTCTTAGCAAATCTTCCTCAGTAAGGAGGATCCTGTCCTGGCTAGCTTCTGCCATCTGGCAAAAAGAACCTCAGCTGAGAAAGGGCCCCCACCAGACTGGCCTGTGGCAAGACTGTGGTGCATTTTCTTGATTAATGGTTGATGCTCGAGGGACCATCTCACCTCGGGGGGGGGGGGGGGGAGCGCACCATGCTGGTGGCCTGAATCGAGAGTCGACTAAGCAAGCCTTGAGGAGAAAGCCAGAGCACTCTCCTCCACTCTCCTCCACGGCCTCTGCTTCCGCTCCGCCTCCATTCCCGCCCTGGCTTCCCCAGTGATGCAGTCTGACCTGAGGGAAACAGACGCTTTTCATCCCAAGTCGCTTTCGTCATGCTGTTTTATTACAGCTATAGAAACCCTAACACACGCACATACACGCCCCCGCACACGAACACACATGTACATGCACGTACACACGTACACACTGGCTAAGTGAGGCCACTCCAGGGGAGAGGGTGCTCCGTGCGCTAAAGCTTCAGGACAAACTGCAGCTTGACATGTTTGACATACACTCAGCCCTAAAGCCAGGAGACAGGATGGTCTTAAGTACATTCCATAATTGCAATCATGGAGGACTTCCTGGAGGCAGAACGTGGTGGTTCCTGCCCCTTGCCAAGGAGAACTCCGCCAGGCAGAGGAAGCGCAGTAAACACGGCATGAATAGTTTAGGCGTTTCCAGGCAGAGAGACCCACGTTAACAACAGGAAGTCCGTGTTCTGTAGAACTGGCTGGTTAGACTATCAGTGGGCTTGGAGGACAGGAGCGTTGCAGGACCACAGCCAAGCTCCCGTGGGGTTGGTTGGCCCTAGGTGGCTGTTGGTGGTGTACAGTCCTGTCAGGCCCCCGAGCGTCAGCTAGAGGACCCCACTAACCCCGCCTGCTGCTTCGTTCAAAACGAGCGTTCTCTGCTTCTTCCCAGAAAGACGACACTAAATGTTGCGAATTGAAGCACGGCGTTTGCGGGCACCCTGAAGATGTGTTCCCGGGCCCTGGTCCCTCATACTTCACTCCAGAGCAGAGGCTGGTATTTCCTTTGAAATAAGAGCTGTTTCTACAGCCCGCAGGAGCGATAATGTACCAGCTTTGCCGGGTCTGGGCCGCACGTGTGTTCCCCGAGCCCAAGGCAGGAGGACGCAGCGCCTGCTTCCGCTGGCCCCGCCAAGCTGAGTGTGTGTCCTCTCCCCACAGCCACGCCCGGCTGCAAACTGCCCACGGGCTGGAGCTCAGACGTGTGCTCAAGTGCTGCCCTCATCGACTGGGGGCAGATCCGGGCTGCTGGCCACTGTGTGCCCCTGGCCGGTGAGGCCACACGGAGGCGGCCACCATGACCACGCTGCTGGTCGTGGTGGCCAGGCTGCGGCGGGAAGGAGTGCGGGGAGTGTGCTCGCAGAGCTAGAAGCAAACATGACCCAGCAAGACTCTGACTCATCTGAAAGCATCTTTAAAAACCACAGGGAAAGAAATGCCCAGACAAGGACACACAGTTGCCATGGGGCCAGGGGAGGGACCACAGCACACACCGAGAAAGGAGAAGGTTAAGAAAGTTATGGAGAAGGCTAAGCTAAGCCAGACGCTGTCCTGAGTGCTCCTGTGAGCTCTCTTCTGCCCCCAAAAGCACCAATAGGAATGTGTTAGTGTGAATAGAGATGCCCCCACCCATGTGTTTGAACGCTTGGCCGGTAGGGAGTGGCACTATCAGGAGGTGTGGCCTTGTTAGAAGGCGTGTTCCTATGGTGGCAGGATCTGAGGTTTCCCATGCTCAAGCTAGGCTCATCGGTGTGTTCCCGAAGTCCCCAGCAATGGAGAGGCCAAGACAGAAGCCTGGGAGCCCAGTGTCCAGCCAGTGAAGGCAGTCGCTGGCTCCAAGTTCAGGGAGAGTTCCTGCCTCAAATAAATACATAAATAAATTAAGTCACAGGGGCTGGAGAGGGGCTTCACCACTTAAAAGCTTCGTCAGAGAATCCAAACTCAGTCCCAGCCCCCACACCAGGTGGCTCCTGAGCAGGACATCCGTACCCTCTTTTGGCTCCCACTGGTCACAGGCGTGCCTGAGGTGCACATACATTAGGCAGGCGTGTGCATCTATGTAGATAAAATCATCTTAAAGGGGAGAAAGAGGTACACTTTAAAAATCTTAAACAAAATAGGTGAAGATTTAGCAGAAGATAAGGGTGTCAGCCATGTACTCCCCCAACACACACAAATACACACTTTAAAAATTAGTTTCAAAGATGAAAGATGTGTACATTTAGTGAATAAATTGATTTGTAAGTGAATAAGAGCGTGAGCAGCCGGTAGGGGTGGGCCCAAGGCTAGCACAGAGACAACACACCAAGCCTGAGTCTGAGAGGTCAGAGCACAGGACACACCCAGCTGGCACGCACATGACCACACGCCCAGGCTTCTCTCTTACCTGCTTTCTGGTCAGCCCTTCCTCCACCCTGACCAGGTTTGGCTGTGTCATGTGCTAAACTGGGCTAACAATTTCTCTCCGTGTGCCAGCTAACTGGAGTTATTTAACACACCTGCAGCCACAGAACAAGGTCCAAGGCTATGGGCGTTTGCACTGCTGACTCTGGGAGCCACATAAAGCGATCCCAGCACTGCAGAGAGCTCAGCCTGCGGGAGTGTGGCCATGGCGCTGTGGGCCCCGGTGCTGGGAGCCCTGCTCCTGGTCCTTGTGGGATGTCTGTGTCTGTCCAAGCTCCTCAGGCACCGCAGGCCAAGGGAGCCACCTCTGGACAGGGGTCTTGTGCCTTGGCTGGGCCATGCTCTGGCTTTCCGGAAGGACATGTTTGAATTCCTGAAGGGAATGCGAGCCAAGCACGGGGACGTGTTCACTGTGCAGCTGGGTGGCCAGTTCTTCACCTTCGTCCTGGACCCTCTCTCCTTTGGCCCCATCATTAAGAACACACAGAAAACTCTAGACTTCGTGAAGTATGCAGAAGTTCTGGTGCTAAAGGTGTTCGGATACCAGGCCTCCAGCCAGGACCACCACATGATTCACTCAGCCAGTACCAAGCATCTGATGGGACAAGGCTTGGAGAATCTCAACAAGGCGATGCTGGACAGCCTGTCCTTGGTGATGCTAGGGCCCAAAGGCCCGAGTCTTCGCGCCAGCTGCTGGCATGAAGACGGCCTCTTTCACTTCTGCTATAGTGTCTTGTTCAAGGCCGGTTTCCTGAGCCTGTTTGGCTACAGTGCGGACAAGCAGCAGGATTTGTGTGAGGCCGATGAGCTGTTCATGAAGTTCAGAAGGTTTGACCTTCTTTTCCCCAGGTTTGCCTACTCCCTGCTGGGGCCCCGGGAGTGGAAAGAAGTTGAGCAACTGCAGCATTTTTTCCACCAGAGACTCTCTGTGGAACAGAACCTGGAGAAGGACGGTGTGAGTAAGTGGCTAGGCTCCATGCTTCAGTTTCTGAAGGAGCAAGGAACAGCTGCCTCCATGCAGAACAAATTCAACTTCATGATGCTCTGGGCCTCCCAGGGGAACACGGGGCCAACCTGTTTCTGGGTGCTCATGTTCCTGTTGAAGTATCAGGACGCCATGAAGGCTGTCCAAGAGGAAGCGGCCCGGGTCCTGGGTGAGGCCAGGCTAGAAGCCAAGCAGTCCTTCACCTTCAAGCTGGATGCCCTGAAGTGCACCCCAGTGCTGGACAGTGTGATGGAGGAGGCCCTGCGCCTGCGAGCCAGCCCCACACTCCTCAGAGAGGTACAAAAGGACTATGTGCTGGAGATGGCCAGTGGGCAGCAGTACGAGATCCGGCGTGGGGATAAGGTGGCCCTCTTCCCCTACTTGTCAGTGCACATGGACCCTGACATCCACCCCGAGCCCACGGCCTTCAAGTACGATCGCTTCCTCAACCCCAACGGCACCCGGAAAGTGGACTTCTACAAGTCAGGCAAGAAGATCCACCACTACTCCATGCCCTGGGGCTCGGGCGTATCCATCTGCCCTGGCAGGTTCTTCGCCCTCAGTGAGATGAAAATCTTTATCCTGCTCATGCTGACATACTTTGACTTTGAGCTAGTGGACCCTGACACACCTGTGCCCTCTGTTGACCCCAGGCGCTGGGGCTTCGGCACCACGCAGCCCAGCCATGAGGTATGCTTCCGCTACCGCCTGAAGCCCTCGAAGTGAGCTCGGGCCTGACCAGGCGCTGCAGGCCAGAGCAGCACTGAACACCCGTCCCTCCGGCTCTGGGACGCCCCTCCGTCTCCCTGGCATCCCTGCTCCCTTGCCCTAGATGTCTCCTAGGCTTGTCATGCTCCCTGTAAGACGCCCTCCCCCCAGTGGTTTCTGCGTGAGCCCCCTCTCGGGACGAGCACCCGGGCCAGCTGAGTTTGTGCTGCCACTCCCCCAGGCTCCACTCTTCCTGGAGGACAGACTGGTTCCCAGGATCAAACAGCACCCTGTGAATTTTGCCTCCTGCCCACTTCACTCAAAGCCCTTACCCCACATTGTCTGGGTTCAGACTCTGGAGATGGTGCTCAATGGAGTCAAGCCATGTTAGCAACTGTTAACCCCTAGTGTGCCAAAAGCAAAGGATTAAAGTTGAGGGTTGTTCTGTGGTATGTTTCCCTTAGCCCAGAGTTTCCTGACAACTCACACATCAACAATTCCAGAGAGTCTCAGCAGGGGCTTTGCATTCTTGTGGTGCTGGCATCAGACTCTTCAGGGGTTTTGAGTGGTCTAAGCCAGAGTCTGCTGGTTCAGGAGCCAGGCCTGGAGAACTGGCACACTTCTGGAAGCCGTCTCAAGGCGCCTCCTCCGTGCCCCTGTCTCTTTCCTGCATCTTTTCCTCAGGGTTCCTAGGAAGAGCCCTGGGGTGGTTTTCTCCACCCCATGCCTTCCATCTCCCTGTGGGCCACCCAGACCCTCAGGTATGCTTGGTCTGTGCAAAACTCAGCATCCGCCCCATACTCAGGGCTTCCTTCCTGACCCCTGCCTCTTGGCTCGGGAGCCCTCTTCACTCCTGACCCAGAGCGGACACCAAAACCTCCCTTTCTCCCTCACAATCAGGCCCGGTTCTGTGCACTCAAGCTCCATAAGGCCTCTGAATGGTTGCTTCCTGCTCTCCTCTGCTGCCTGTGGCCTCTGCTGCCTTTCCCACACACCAGGCCTGACAGCTTCACCCTTTGTTCACACAGCACCCATTGCCCTTTCCAAAGCTGCCTTTGGCTGCCACCATTCTTCTTCCTGGCCCACAGTCACCTTCACGCAGCTGTCATTTGAGTGGCTTCATCTCTCCCTGTTTTCTGCCATGGAGCCGTCCCTAGAGCAGAGGCCCGAGTGCTCAGGGCCAGCTATTCCCAGAAGCCCTCTCTGACTTACATCTTCCCGTCCAGGACGAGCCCGGGGGGGGTGGGGGCTGCCCCAACATTGTCTATGCAGCCTAAGGTATCTTTGCTGTCTTTGTCTTTGTTCTTCCTGCTCCAGGCCCGGACTCAAGCCCTTTAGGGCTCTTGCTTTGGAGGTTCTGAGGGGGGTGGAGGTGAGAGAGGCAGGAACGCAGAAAGGGACACAGCACTTCTGGGCTGGGCCAGTGTGCCCAGCTGTACCCTCGGGTCTCCATCAGAGTATGATGACCTGTCCCCTCCTCTGCCCGCCAACCCTCTGAATGTGCATCACACGGTAGAAGCTTGGCCACCAGCCTTGACAGGTTTACTCTGCCCTCCCTGACCTCAGCGTCCTGGTACAGGAAACACAGGGTCCCGGGAGGATAGGCCGCCTGGTGGTACGCCTGGCTGGCGCTAAGACAGGTTGGGAACAAGTGTGGGAAGGTGGGATAGGGTCAGGCTTGTGCGCTGTGGATCCAGATGCCGGGTTCTGTGCCCCGAGATCAGGAGGCGCTGTGTTGACTAATATGCTATAAAGAGTAATCCCCAAAGATCCCTGATTGGTTAATAAAAGGCTGGAGCCTATGACTGAGCAGAGAGGGGTGGAGTGAGGTGTCTCAGCAGGGACCATGAAGGGAAGAAGGAAGATGGGAAGAAGTGGGTAGACAAGATGGACCATGAGCACATGGCAAACAGAGGTTGTGCTATGGCTGTTAGTGTCGGTCTGACAGGGTGTAGACAGCTTGCACACGTGTGTGACAGACTTTGTGGATAGACCTGCCCTAACTTATGGACGGGGGTAGGAAGAAATAAAGTGAGAAGTGAGCTGAGCACCCGTGTTTGTCTCTCTGCTTCCTGACTCTAGTTGCGATGTGACCAGCACCTCACACTCTCCCGCCATGATGGGCTGCACCCTGAAACTAGCAGCCTTTTCTCTAAGTGGTCTCAGTGAGAAAATTATCTGTCACACACACACTCACACACCTCACCCCCCCAAGTGCTCAGTGAGCCTCTGCTCCACTCCAAGCACCAGCAGCAGCATGGAGATGTCCCATGTGGCCATCTCTGCTCTCTGGAACTCGGCATCCACCACCCCACTTCACTTAGCTAAAGTTTCCTTTCCTGTGTGCCATGCTTTGTACCTCATTGTGCAAGACAAGGGCTGTGAGGTCTGAGCAGGCTGAGAGGGTCTGTGAGCTTCAGAAGCTCAGGGGAAACACAAGCCTTGGGCCCGAGGCTCCCTGGAGAAGGGTCTCTGTAGACGGTCCAGGAGGCCGGAAAGATGGCAGTGTGTGCTGGTCGGCAGGGAGCACCTACAGGGCAGGAACCTCGCCCACTGGCCCTGGGGAGAGGACTGGGGTGAGCACCAGCTGGCCTCAGCGGCAGGGACCGCCCACGGTCCTCGCCCCTCCTACCTGCTCACTTCTGCAGCTCACACCCTCTCCTTGCTATCCTCACGCCTCTACCCCAGCACTTTCCAGACAGCTCGGCCCACTGGCTGCCTGGGTCACGTGTCCATCTCAAAGTGAGTCACTGTGGCCGTGAAAACCTAAGATTGTGCTTCAGCGCATGCATTAATCAGCTTCATCACAACAAATCACCGAGGCCATTAATGTTAAATAGAAAAGGGTTATCTTGCCTCAGGTTTGGGAGCTTGCAGCCCAAGACATGCTGCTCTGAGTTGCTGGTGGTTGTACTAGGTGGCCGTGGCGGGGAGTGAGCACACTCATAAGCCACTAAGGGAGAGAATGGAGAAGGAAAAGAGGCTGAAGTCCCATCACCCCCTTTAAGGGCACACCAGTGACCTAACGGCCTGCTGTGGTGGGTCCAGCACCGCCCAGCAGCAACACCCCAGGACCCGCGGATACCGACCCGACCCTCACAGTCTAGGAATGTGCTGTGCTCAGCCTCCATCCAGAGCACAGGGCAGGCCACCAGAGCAAGCAGGGGCAGCTCCTGAGATGTGTGAGGGCACGCCAGCACAGAACTAAGCTGTATTACAGGGGCAGCAGGGCAGCCCCGAGGGTGGGGTGTGCAGAGAGCCTCAAGGAGTGCTGGGAGTTGGGAAAGTGTCGGCCGAGGGCTGAGGGTTACTCAGTCAGTGAAGCACGTGCCACACAAAACCCAGGACCGCAGGGAAGAGTAGGAAATGGGCCACAGGCAGGTGTGATCTCAGTGCTGAGTGGGAGACAGGACAGCCAGCCTCAGCTGCTCCATGAGGTCAAAGCCAGGAGAGACCTCTCGCAAAAACAAAGGCGGCGACACCTTGGAAACAGCATCTGAGCCTGTGCTTTGATTTCTACTGGTATATGGGTGCATACACACTCGCAAACATCTGCACGCATGCACGCGCACACACATGCAAGTGTGGACACCTACACAAAGGCCTGGACTCCGTGCCAAACACAGCTTACTGTGTGTCTGTGATCTCATCCTGTGGAGACTGACAAGCGTCTCTGTGACCGGTCACACATGCTTGGACCAAACCCACCTGTGGTGCCCTCCTCTCCCTGCCCCCGCCCCTCTCCGCCCTTCTCCCCCCCCCCCGCCCCCCGCTCCC